ATATATATATATATATATATATATATATATATATATATATATATATATATATATATATATATATATAAGCCCATCTAACTCAGTGCTTCAAAAATGACTTGCCGTTAATGAGATGCATTACACATACAACAATAACAATATATTTAGTGGATATCCATAAGTGGGGTTTGAGAATCATAGCATGTACGCAGACCTTACTCTATAAAATAGTGACCAAGCCAAAATATCAAACAAAGGTGTTTAAAGTCTATTTTTTTACCAAAAACAAGTGGAGTAGTAACATTGTACCTTATACACAATCTAAATTTTTAAGCAAAGGATGTTTAGTTGATCATCTTTGGTAACACATAGCTTAGCCTTTGTTATGAAGGTAGAGACATTGTTTCAGATAGACCCTTAGCTCAAGAAAAGTATAATCACACCAGTAACAACAAAGAACTATGGAAAGAGAAATGATAACAACGACCAAAACAATAATAGAAGCGAAGCAAACGAACATCACACGCCCTCTTAAATCTCAATCTAAAAAGGTGCTCCAACCGTAAAAATTATGCTCCATCCGTTTCAATTGATGTGAACTCATTTGATTGGTCACGAAGATTAAGAAAAAATAAAAAGACTTTTGATCTTGTGGTGTAAAATGAAGTATATATATTTTGTATAGTCGTCAATTATTGCATAAAGGTAAATTATTTACAAATATGGAAATTAGTCTTTTTTTTTGGCACGGATTAAAAAGGAAATACGCAAAAGACTTATTTTAGATGCCATGAGGACTAAATTTGCCACAACTCACATTTACCCCTGCTAATTTCACCCATACTGCCCATCTCTATCCATAACCTTTTTCTTCCCCCTTATTTCTACAAATTATACAACTTTACTTTTAACTATTCCAAGCTGAAAGCTAAAGTAGTAAATTGGTAAAAAGTTGATGAATTTTACCTGGGAGAAGCACCGATGAGGATGAGTTTGGAGAAGAGTTCAGGGCGGCGAATGGAGGCGAGAATTCCGATCATGGCGGAGACAGAGTGGCCAACATAAGCACAACGATCAATACCAAGATTATCAAGAATATGAAGAAGGTCATCGACATAAGGGTCAAGAGTAGTATAACGTCGGAAATCGAAGAAATCAGGATTCACACTGCCGGCACAGACAAGGTCGTAAAGGACAACACGGTAATCTCGGAGAAAAAATGGAAGAATTCGATTCCAAGCTGATTGGTCTGTTCCAAAGCCATGAGCTAACACCAAAAATCTCTCACCTGAACCTACGACTCGTACGTTCAGAGCATCCAAAAGTGTCTGACCCATTTTTGAGTTTGCCTTCTTTTTTATTGGAGGAAAAATGAAGAATATGTTTTGGGTTTTTGTAGGGGCTTAGAAACTCCAAAGACAGTACTCAAACTTTTGTACTCTTTTTTTTTTTTTTTTTTTCTCGTTTGTTTAATATTTGGCCAATTTCTGTTGGGTAGAAGTTGTGTGATGGAAAAGTCTTGCGGAGGGGTGTGGTATTTATAACGGTACGAAGAGACAGCTACTTTGGATGTATTTTTATGGATAAAGGAATTTGACAAAAAATAGCACTTTATTGGTGAAAATAAATCTTACACGTGTATTTATATATGTGGCTGATGTGGCAACACACGTGGATCGCTAAGAAATCGACAGCCGGAGAGATGCATTAAAAGAGGCACGAGTCGTAATAGGTAGGAGCAAATCACCCACGAGAAAAAAAAAAGTATGGTCGCTCGAGTCTGAATTTCTATATGAAGAGACACCAGCAGAATGAATCAAGACATTAAAGAAGGAAGATTCATGAATCTTCAATCATTATGCATGAATGATCATAAACATTACATAATCTTGAACAGTTACGATTACCAATTATAACGTCTCATTAATATCATTAATGTTCATAATGATTCAGTCATAAAAGGGAAGAAACGATGTACTTATAGATTCCTATATAAGGGAAAGAGATTTCACTTGTAAAGACACGTTCTGATTATTATTGGAATATAATTACTTTCTTTTGCTTTCTATCGATTACTTTGCTATTTCATATTCTAATTTCCTTTCTTATCACTGAGAGAATATAAAATTCCTTGATTATCAGTAGCCCGAGTACTTCTAAGAATAGGCTTTGACTAAGAATCTAATTCTTTGGTTAAACAAATTGGTTTCGTTACCGGGAATCTGATAATCTTTTCACTTTCCAAGTTCATTTTTCTGTCAAAAAATCATGTCGACCGCCAACGACAACAACCAACAAAATCAGCAAAACCAACTGAACCAACAGAATCAACAAGAGAATGAAACTCCAATCCCTTCACCCCAAAATTCTCCTCAACACTCCCGAGAAGGGTCACCTGAAAGATCAACATCACATGTGTATAATCAACAAGGGGACGATCAAACTGCTGAAGATGCATTGAAACAACTAATTGCAGTACACGTCAACAATGCTCTCCAAGCTTTTGTTAGTGGGTTGCCAACTGTACCACCAACTCCCCCTCCAAATAACACTGCAGCTGTAGAGAATCCACGCTCGGGACTTGCTAATTCAGCAGCGGAGGAACTCCCAGCAAATCTCGCGATGGAAGGTCAGGTAATCCAATTAATTCTGATTTACAAAGTTTAATACTAACTTTGCAGAAACAGCTCAAGGAGCAGAACGATTGCATAGAGTAGATACCTGGTGTGCCACCCGTGATTAAAGGAGTGGATATTGATTAATATTCTCAACAGCCCTGGAAGCCGAGTGTCGCTCCCTTGCCAATTCCAAAAAAGTTTAAGATGCCCGATATTCCGAAATATGATGGGACAACTGACCCACGAGATCATGTAACTGCATTTACAACTGGCGTGAAAGGCAACGACTTGACCAAGCAAGAAATTGAGTCGGTGCTAGTCAAAAATTTTGGCGAAACACTCACAAAAAAAGCATTAACATGGTATTCTCTTTTACCAGAAAATTCTATTGATTCTTTTGCTGAGCTTGCAGATTCATTTATAAAAGCACACTCGGGAGCTCAAAAAGTTGAAAAGAGGATGGAAGAAATCTTCAAAATAAAACAAGGAGATACGGAACTACTCAAGGAATTTGTGGATAGATTTCAGCGTGAAAGGATGATTCTACCTCGTATACCGGATAATTGGGCGGCTATGGCGTTTGCAAGTAACTTAAATGGAAAAAGCTCAGAAGCCACGAGGAGACTCAAAGAAAGTTTACGAGAATTTCCTGCAACAACTTGGAATGATGTTTGCAACAGGTATAGCACGAAGTTGCGGATAGAAGAAGATACTATCACTCAGTCACGGGGAGATGAAAGAACAAGTTCGAGGCAACAGAAACTGAGAAAAGGTCCGGTAAGAACAGGTACGAACCTTACATGGGACCAGCAGGAAGGGATTCACGTTCTAAAAAAGAGAACTCAAGGTACAGTTCCAGATCAAGGGACATAGATGCAGGTTCGTCATTCAAGTTTGGAAAGGAGCGAGATACACAGGACATCAACATTAGTACAAAAGCAAAGATTGGTGATTACAGTTTCAATGTTAGCACATCTGAGTTGGTAGCTATTTTAAGAAGTATGGGAGATAAGGTGCGGTGGCCAAAAGAAATGAGATCGAACCCTAGCAGAAGAAACCCAGATTTCTGGTGCGAGTTTCATAATGATCACGGTCATAAAACAGCAGATTGCAGATTGCTACAAGGTGAAGTAGAACACTTGTTAAAACAAGGCTATTTAACTGATTTGTGTAGTGAGAAGGGTAAGAAAGCATATATGAAGAATAGACATGAGCCACCAAAACCTCAGTCACCGACAAGAACGGCTAACGTGATATGCGAAGGAGAGGAGGTCAACGGTGTGACATATATGGCTGCAAAAAAGGTGTCAAAAGTCACAGTTACCCACGGAAAGCGAGTTCGCCAAGTTTTGGAAGGAGACACTATAACATTTGATGATGCAGACGGAAATGGCGTGATGGTCCCACACAATGATGCACTGGTAATATCTTTACTTGTACATGATACTAATGTGAAACGAGTTTTGATTGATCCAGGTAGCTCTGTAAATATCATTCTTTTAAGAGTGGTAAACGAGATGCAAGTTGATGACAAATTGGTACCCAAAGCACGTACCTTATCTGGATTTGACAATTCAAGCGTTGTTTCAAAAGGGGAGATAGTGCTCACCACATTCGCAGAAGGAGTACTCAAAGATACGAAATTTCAAGTGGTAGATACAGACATAGCGTACAATATGATCCTCGGCAGACCTTGGATTCACGAGATGGATGATGTTCCGTCTACTTTGCATCAGGTTATTAAGTTCCCTTCGCAGTGGGCAATTAGACAAATCCATAGAGATCAACAGGCTTCTAGAAGCATCAATGCAGTGGCAGATCCAAGCATAAAAAATGACGTTGCGGACAAAAAATAGCAATTATATAATTTAGTTGAGTATTTAACAACAAAAACCTCAACTGGAGATGGACAAACGGATGTAGACTCAAGGCCCGATACCATTCAAGAGCTAGAAGAGAACGAAAACATCAAAACAACAATTGAGGAACTCGAAGCAATGGTGTTGTTTATACATTGGGCGGACAGAAAAGTTTACATCGGAATCAACCTGAGCCCAGTGATGAAAGGTAAGTTAATTTAATTCTTAAAAGTAACGCAGATTGCTTTGCTTGGTCGCATTCAGATATGACAGGTATACCACTGGAGGTGATGACCCATAAGCTGAATGAAGATCCAAAGTATCCACCTGTCAAACACAAGAAAAGGAAGCAAGGATCCTTCAAAAACTAGGTGATTCAGGATGAGGTACAAAAGCTTTTAAAAATCCGGTCTACCCGAGAGGTAAAATATCCTAATTGGCTAGTTTCAAATCAAATAGATAATCTGTACTCGTGAACTTGATGTCAACATTAGGATCATATTTGCCCTTTTTCCTCAAATAGTAAAACAAGACGTCCACATGCTGTCAATAATATAAAAAGAACGATTATAACATCATGTACAATCACAACATATACTTTATTTATGCGCAAAAAACAAAACTGTTGTACTGGATATATTCATTCTATCCAGTTAATACTCTTAAATTGGGAACAATTATACCTAAATATCCGATGTATTTTACTTTAACTTATCGAATCACTTATAGATTGACCTTTGTAGGCAAGCTTGTGGAACCACTCCTTCTTGCCAACATGCAATACACCAAATTCAAACATAGGTTGTAATGCATTATCCTTTTTGGCGTAAACACAACTTCTGTAAAAAATAACATGATTACCCAACGTCAACATAATAAACTTCAACAGAAGAATATGTATCATAACTAAAACGAGTACTCACTTCCTTTTTGTCCTCAAACCTGTAGTAACCCATGTCTTGAAATCGCTCGTAATCTTTTTGTAATCATCATCACTAGTAAAATATACAAACGGGTGCCCTCCTGTGACAATAGTCTTCATTGATGATCCTCGAACAGAACTAGCGCCTGACGAAAAATCAGTCAAGAAAGGTGACTTATAGACCGATGCAGGGCGCCTCTCTCTTTTAGAATATTCTGGGGTATGTTCAGATGCCATAGGATTTTTATATTTAACAATCTGAGATTCGGGGACGTCAACATAACATTCGTCCAAGGGATCTTTGGCTGAATATCAAACACAATATTAGCATATTGACTAACTTAAAAAAAGTAATACACATTCCAGTGAATATTTCCACATGTTGAATGTGTATCATTAGTTACACGTATTCAGATAAAGTATAACATGAATATAATGTGTAGGAAAAAATACACCTATGATTATAAGTAAAAGTTTAACAAAATTAATACATTATATATGTAAAGATTTAAGGAATATGACTTTGGGATATCTATGACATAATTACTAAAATGTTACAATATATCAAGCATACTTACCAGCTATTGCAGGGTTTGTGTATTTAACAATTTGGGATTCGGGGACGTCAATATAATATGCCTCCATGGGATCTATTGCAGCTTCTCCAGCACCAAAATCAGCATCTTGATATACTTTACGTACATAATAAACAGTTCAAATAAATATAAAAATAAGAACAATTTGCTATAAGTATCACAAATAAGGAAAAAAGATTGCTCTGTATGTTCATGATACAACTAAGATATGTTAAATTATTATAAAGATAATTTATAGTAGTTGAAACCAAAAGTGGGGATATCAGTTAAATACTAACTTAAATGAATAGTGTATAAGTGAATGTACAAATACAAGTTATATCATTGTGTATAAACATGTTAGTAACTAAGTTTCATTTGCTTATACTAGGAATACAACATTGTATGAATACATGGTATAACTGAGACAAAATGTAAAAAGAACATGGTATAATTGTAAGGTATATGTTGTATAAACGTTGTTTTGGTTAAAATATAATTGACATAAAATGAAAGACATATATACATATGCAACCAATATATATTATAAGACCGAGGAAACGAAAAATTTATTACCACCAAGCTCATCGTTAGGAGCTTCATTCTCTTCAGTATTGTTGTCGAAAGCGATATGTTTCATTGTATCCACAATCCACATTTTCCTTCTCATGTAAACCATCAAAGTCACTACCATCATACATGCCTCGTTTGCAAAGTCTTCCCCCTGCTAGTTTTAAAAAGAGTAATTAAAATTTTTAAATCAAAACTATGAAAGAATTATTACAAATTTCCATCGTAGGTCAAATATTGACAAAATTAACAGTTGCTGTGATAAATACCTTAGAAGCACTTGAAATATTCACTTTCTTTGCCAATGACTCAACAACATTAACTAATTTGGAATTAGATTCCACAATGAACACATTCAGCATCTGAAGTTCTTTTTTTATCTAGTGAAACAAACAATATATTAAAGTATATTTGAAGATAATAATTTAAAGGTTTAACCAATCGGATGGACATACCATTTGAAATTCTTCCTTTAATTCCTTCTGACTGTCGGATAGACGTTTAACCTCAGCTAACAAATTCGTACTACCAGGTGCATCCCCTAATTTTGGTTTTATGTATACCTTAGGTGACTGATGCGGAGGAGATTGGAAGTCATCGTCGCCACGTTCATGTACAAGATCATCCCTAGCTGTTGCATTGTCATCCAATTTATCGTCAAAAAACTCAAGGACATTCATACTTGATTTCTCAAGTGTAGTTGGGAAAATATTCCTCACCTTCAACTAAGAAGTAATGTAGATTAACATTTTAACGAATATACAAATTTTTAATGTTTATTAACATGTGTGAGCACGTGATTTTTGCCCTAAGCAATAATTCCCAAAATTTCAAACAAAACAATTTCTTTAGTATTTTGTAATTTTTCGTGAATTTGGTGGCATTTTTTGGTAATTGTTGCATTTTTATTCGTGCATTTTAATTCATATGAAAATACAAAAATATGCATTTTTGCATTTAGGATTTAATTTCACAATTTTAGTATTAATTAGGTATTAATTAGTTTTAGAATAAAATTTAAAGAAAATTGCAAAAAATAGTTTCTTTGCACTTTTAATTGTTAATTGTTGCACTTATCTTTAAATAAAGTTTTAAATAATTTTAGGAGTTAAATAGTTTAATTAGGTCTTTGTTTTGTTTTAGCATTTTATAAAATCAGAAAAAAATGTAAAATACAAAAAGGAAAGCAAAACAAAAATGAAAAAGGGGGACAATTAAAATAAAAGAAAGTGGGGCTTGATAAGAAGACCAAAATTGGCTTAGCCCAAATTAAACCCCCCCCCCCCTCCAGATCCGCCTGTTAGCCCAAAACCCACACCATTAACCCGATCCAAGTCCGCAGCCCCCCCCCCCAAACGACGTCGTTTAGTAACTTTCAATCAGGACCGTCGAGGTTTTTTTAATCTAACGGTCCTGAAGCCTAGGTTACTAAGTATATATATGTCCAAACCCCACCCCACCCCCTATCCGGTCATCTCTCTCACCCCCTATATACACCACCGCTCCGCCTCCGTTCTCCGCCGTCAGCCGCCGGCCAGAAATCGTCTCCGCCGGCGGCGATTGTCCAATCCACCTCAAATTTACACCGCTTACTCCCCGTAATCTCCTCTTTCCAAACCCCAAACCCCCATGTCTCAAATCCCCTCCCTTCTCCTCGAATCTTTGAATCTGTGGACGCCGCCTCCGCCGCCCACGACGGCGAAGCTCCAAACCACTCCAAAAATACACCCCTTATTCCTCTCGTCTTCCTCTTTCCAACCCCCAAAACCGCTTCCCCCAAATCCTAGCCAAACTTCTCGAATCCTCAATCGAAAATCCGACCAAAACGGTAACTCATCCAAAGTCAGCCAAATTAGCACCAAATCATCCCCTCTCTTCCCTCATCCCAAATTTCCACTTGGTTTCCGTCGAATATCTCTGGAATTTGTCAAATCGTTAATCTAGGGTTTTTCGAAATCAAGTCTGTTTGGAGACTCAAATGCTCGATTGACTGTTAGCTAATGTTACATGTTTATTTCAAACGAAATAAACACGCGACATTAATTGAAAGCCAAATTCGAAGATAGTCAGTCGCATGCTCAAAATTAGTAAGTTTTGTTCGATTCTGTTTGATTCTGTTCAATATGTGTTTATTCTTAGCTTTAGTTTAATTTGTTTGATTGGTTTAATCCTGTCTTGTTAATATTAGGTATTAGTTTAATTTTTCGTCTTGAATCCGTCTTGATAAATGTTTGGTTTCAGTTTATGGTTCATTGTTATAGTCCTTAATCCTTTATTATCCGTCTTAGTCGATTCTGTTTAGGCATTGTTGATTTTAATTTTTGTTTTAATGTTTGATTTGTTAATTCTAGTTAGTCTAGTTTAGTTTAGTCTAGTTTAATCAGTAATTATCATCTGTAATGCCTTAATTCAGTGTTTGGTATTAATTAGCTGTTAGGTTTAGTTTAGTTTGGTTTGGTTATAGCTGATTTGGGCTCATTAAGACTAACTATGGTCAAAGCTTTAAATAAGATAAAAGTTTGTTTAGGTTAGTAATTTTAAGAGGGTTTCAGGGGTAGTTTAGGCATTGAAAAGGGTAGTTTAATCAGATTTGGTAATTGTTGAAATGAAGTAAGGATAGAATAGGAATTGTAATGGGTATAGACCCTTCTAGAGTGGGCTTTAGTATAGATTTCAATAAAATAGGTGTAGTTACTTGTGTAACAAGTCAGAAAATAAAGGGTAAAAATAGAATTAAAATAGGGACTAATGGGTAAAGTGAAAATCTGAAATTGGACCATAAGTTCACCTATAAATAGGCATTCATTTGCCTTGTAGAAGGGGTTTTTTTTTTTAGCCTCTAAATTCCCCCCCCCCCCCCCCCCCAAAAGTGTATTC